ACTTGTATCGGTAAAGTTTCTTCGGAAAGAATTATTACGGAACATTAACTAACGAACGGAGACGTAACAGTATTCTCGTGTACAACCGAAGATGCTGTACTAGTGTTATAATATCAACATATTCTATTTCATGTACACGTTTGAGATAATTTAATATCGTGATAACTAAACACATTATACAGAGGGTTGAGTACTATGTATTAAAAGTATTTTGACAATATCACCGTACAGAAGTGTAATTATTTTTAAAACATGTATGACAACGTTATAATTCTATATTATAATAAATGTAAATTTAAATGATATATTTCATCTAAGATAAGCACGAAACTATTTCCTTTTATACTGTTAACGAACTATATTGCTGGAGCACGAACACATAAACACCACAACTATACTATTGAAAGACTATGTAAATTTTTGTACATATTTGAAATACGTACATAACTTTATTATCATCAGCCATCTGTGGTCGATACATCTCCCTATAACAGCATGTCAGTTTCTGGTTTTGCCATCTAGTACCAATGATAGAAAGCACCTTCTGGTCAATTTTGATAACGTTTCCTGTGCTATACGTTAGCGGAGGGTAGTCTTCAGTACAGTCCAGAAGCGTTTCAGCCTCCACAAATTTAGCTACAGTGTAGTGAAAAGGATCTAAGTCTGGAATATGACAGCTGTTAGAAAATACAAGGAATCCCGGATGATCGTGTTTCTTTGGAGGTGGATGAGGACGATATGATGAGTGGACATCGTTAGAATATCGGTAAGTAAGGAAGAGGCCAGTTGAACAGACCATAAGGCTAAGGAGAACTAAATGTTTTGACTGAAGCCTACTTTTTGGAGAAGAATCTGTGTTTTTGAGGAAAGTGATATACAGAATTAGTAATGTTGTAAAGTTTTTGTATTCCAAAAGCAACATATATCTTGTCTAAGGAACAGGTTCAATGGATACATACTTTGAAATTAAAAATGATACACACTGTATTTTACAACATTTAAGTAGCAGCTTTCCAAAAACTGGAGTTTTATAGTTAAACTTAACAATGGAAACATTGGGGCGGATTAAACCGATGTAACTAATATATGGGCGTGGTCAAAAAGATTTTAGAAGCTAAATATATTTACACCACCTCTAAAGGTTTTTATTTTTAAAATATTTAATACATAAATAAGTTACCTTCATCAATTTTCTTAATAATTTAATTCAAACCAGTATTAGCTGGGTTTTCAAGTATTACAGGATATTCAGTGTCCAAATTCTGAGTAGTAGTATTCACCTGCAAAAAGTCAACATGATGGAGTAAATGCTGCCTTTGTCAACAGGAGAAAAGAAAGACTTCAATTAACCACCAAGTTCTTACAAAAGTGAAAAAGATGACTGTAACAACATTGCAATAAAATCATCTGTTTCATGCTATCGGAGCTCTGCTACTAATCATGCTAGACCAAATAAGACTAGACGAAGGTAATGGCATATAGAAACCATTAAAAAGACAGTATGCAAAGTATCAACAAAGGTGTTGACTTACGTTCAACAAAACAAAGCTACAAATGGGTAAAAAAAATCAACTGTTGTAACAAAAGCAGTGGGGAACCATAGCAAGGTAAAACTTATTTTTTTACAAATAAAATAATCAAAATGGTTATGTGAGCAAAAGGCCATAACGTCTGTTTTAAATAAAGCAACGACCATGCAACTGAATGGCAGATTAAACAAGTGTACTAGCACTCTTAGTGATGAAAGATTCTTTACAAAACTCAAAGGTGGAGATGTGGCGCAGGAGCTTCAAACCAACCTGTCTGTTTCGTAACAATACACAACAGAGCACAAGCTAATCTAATTGCCAAGAAATAAGAGAAGGATATGTAAAACTTGGCTGTTAATGAAGTTTATTCAATTGTTTTTTCTGAACTTGTCACTTACATCACTTAGACAAAGACTGCCAGCAGAGAAGGAGCTGGTCCACTCATATTCAGGCGTACAGAGGTAGCCAGCTCCTATAAGTAATGACTTGAACAACTGAGTGTTGAATCACCAGATGTGAATTTAATAAGGTTAAAGGACCAGTTATTATCTCACATACCACTGCTAGAATCTCATCAGAAAGGACAGGATGTACTCATTGCCTTCAAAATATGTAGCTTCATCTTTGTCACAAGTTTATGAATAGGGTAAAGGTCTTCACCAAAGGTGCTAAAATATACACCGACAGATGCTCGATCACAAGTCAAAATTGGACAATACATGCTAGTAAGGATGTATTGAAGATTCCTTTACACCAGCACTTCTTCAGTTTGTTCGCGTGGTTGCAGATCTCAAATAACAGCTTCAACATGGTGCGTCCAAATCAGACTGAGGCTATTGCATAGCTGTTATAGTACAACTGTTACCCAAAGTATAAAGAAAGGGCAAAAAAAGAAACAGACATTCCAACGATCGTGAGAGTCAATTCCCTTTATACATTGGCATCACATTAATTAGAAAAAGAAGGAAAGACAACTAACAGATATGCTATATGAGAATAGGATCAATATTTCATGTAACAGATGGTTATAAATCTCATCACATCTAGGAAAAGCAGTGGTATCGCAGTGTGTAGACGGAATTGTGTGTTCACTAATCTTGAGAAAAGGGTTACTTAGAACATTTTCAATGGACAACATTGGCCACAGCCCAACAGAAACTACAGCTAACACAGCTATTCATGGACTTATCTTCCAACATTCCAGTTCTGAAAATAAAGGGAAGGTGCAATAACCACTCAAAATGAGAGATAGGATTTCAAAAAAAAGTTCCATAGATTCCCGAATCCTTTAACAATATTCAACCAGTTTGCTTCATGAACAAGAATCCAAATATTTCATCAGTATTCACTATGTCTTTACCAAATTTCTAATTGTTCAGGAAAACCTAAAACTAGTGTATAATTGGCTGAAAAAGTTTATGTGCCTGCTTAACACATCAAAGAAAACGAGACAACAATTTGAATTCAGCATCATATCACTATTGCCTCTTCTTTAAGAACAGGTTCATTCTGTTCCTACCACAACGTATGACATGAATAAAACCAGGGGCACAGTGGCATTCTTGAATCTAGGAGAGAATCCAGTCATAACTGCTGACTAATCACTCTAGCCAAACAAATCCAATGGCACTAGCCAGTGTTGTACAGAGAAGACAAGTTTGTGATAATATTTGGAGCATCAAACATTGGCATTGCTACAATGATAATAATAGAAGCAGCACTTGCAATGGATGAACCAGTGTCCTTACTGATGGAGGGGTAGACTCATCTAGTACTGCAGAATCATTCCTATCAGCTGCAAGAATTACTAAAGCATGACAAGTGCATCAGAGTATAGTATACTGTCTATAAATGCTCATAAAGGTAGTATGCAACGATTACAGCAATCAGACATCTTGCAAACAATAAGAAGTAACCAATTTTGAGGACTGATGTAGGAGATGGAAAACTGATAATCCACAATTTCAGTTATAATATCTTGTTTTGAACGTGGACTGACTCTTTTCATATTGATCCAGTCATTTAGACAAGCAAACTTTACACTACATCGTGATTTGCCGAAGATACTGTTCACTATACACGACGGTCTCTTCTTTCAGCAATTAGGAAAAATAAGATCACATTTTGCAAATATGTACCAGTTTCCAGCAATTCCAAGGTGAAAGTACTGAAGGAAGACAATCACCTGTTTTCTCGAGTCATCATCTCGTGTCATAGCAGACAATTCGATTTGTATAAAAAATTTTATCATGAAAATCAGCCAGTTCCTGCCTTTCTCTCGTGATAATGAGAAGCTCCATACATTTCCAAAGTATCAGCTGATCTAGATAATTGAAGCTGAAGTGACAATGCCAGACACTGAACCAGAGGCAGATGCTATGGTCATAGATAGTTCAGTAGTGGTAAATATCTTGCCAACACACATATATCTTAGACATTTTGTAATTACCCCAGAGATGATATACTTCAGAGAATAAAATCATGCTGCACCAAGCAAAAAGAACTGACATTGAGTCTGGAGCAAGGCCCAAGAATGGAAAGAAAATCAGGAGAACCAGCAATTTCCAAACAAACTGGCAGAATCTCCTTTGGGATAGAGCTGATCTACTATCAATTATATAAAATGAATGAAATAAGTACAACAAACATAGTAATCGTGATAAAGGGAGTAAATGTCATTAGCAACTTAATGATCTGCCTAGAGAACATGTCACCTTGTAGCCATGAAGAAGTAAATACATACATCTTTGTGCATGCCACAATGGAGTTGAACAAGGTACTAATGATCAATGCCAATGACACATATGTTGTACTTATAGCTACGCCTGTTCTGTCACCTCTCAAGGAGTTTGGTGTTGAGAAAATGTGGATTGCCTTTGGTCAAGGAAGGATTGACGATGGAGTGATATAAATATGACATAGTCTCCTCAATAATGTCTGTGAAAACAAGTGAGAATCCTATTTTTTCGTGCCTCCAATGGTTGTGACGTTGCGTCTGTCTTCCGTAACAAAGGTATGAAGTCTGCATGGCAAACCTGGAATGTGTGATATGAGGCATCTAGCATCTTCACAAAAGTCAGTCAGTGTCCATAATTAGTTGATGATCGTTGAAAAAATTGTCGTCATAATGTATAACAGTGTAGATACAAGTGTTAATGATACAAAACTGAACCTCTTAGTCCAGGAATAAAGATCATTTGACTTAGTTCTCCCAATTAAGTATGCCCTCATGCAATACCCAAAGCGTGCTGCCTATCAGACAGAATACCTAAAGGGATAGAAAACAGTATGTCAGTCAAATATACAAAGTCCTGCTGACTGTGAATGAATGAAACAAAACAAAATGGTGCAGGTCTGTTGGAGGACTCAATCAACTCCCATCAATTGCAAAAAGTTGTAAGCAACTGACAAGATGTAGTTGCAAGACAGACTATAGTTATATGTGTAAGTGATATTTCTGCAATACATCACTATGTAGCTGTACGTGCCAGGAGTAGCAAGGTAATCTATCGAACCACATTTCTTAAAGTACAAAATAGAAAGAAATAATATCAGGCGGTAGATCCAATTTGCCTGATGAATGAAGTCGTAACTGTAAACCTTCCGCTTGTATAGCTGGTGGGACTCATTGACATAAATACATACTGGGAAGACATCAAAAGCATATAGAAGACATTTATTTATGGTAGATTTCGTTTTAGCATGGTAAGAAATATCTAATTAGACACTGAGATCATTCAAAGTACACAACTCTATCGATTTCTATGTCAAAGGTTAACATCAGTGGAGAATTTCGAAGACCATCTTGAAAAATGGCAGCGTGTTGGATTTTTAGATTGCTAACGTTTGAACAATAACTGTCAACAATTTTAGAAATTACAGTTTAATTCTATATACACAATCTGAGAGTGAATTAACATTCTTATTCCAACACACATTAACAGAAAAAACAAACAAAAAAAAACTCATAAACTCTGATTAAAATCATACACATATAAAATGAAATATCTAAATTTTAGATCTTAAAGATACACTGTATTTCATAGTCCAGTAAATACATAAAAATTAATATCTGTAGTTATGTGAAAATGGGTAGACAGAGTTTTTACACTCTGTAAAAGTAATCTTTTATCCTTTTTACAATACGTACTTGTTTAAAAACGTACGTGTTTATAAATGTAAGAGGGCAATAGAAGACTCATTTAGTGTCATTCAAAATTACAACTATTCCAACTCTCAAGTATTGAGGGATTTAAGGTATACAAAACACAATGAATAATTCAGTTATAGGCGTAAAATAAGCGACTTGCTTTCATGTCCGATATATATTTCAGAGTACCGGCACCGGTCCGAAGTGAATTCTGAATTTTAAGTTAATGTAACTTTGGGCTTTGTAGTAGAAAACAAGTACTTATAAATACTTTATGTGAGTGTAGAATGTTTGAGTGTGAGGTGTAGGAGTGTCAGCAAAATACGAAAGTGAAAATATTCAGATAGTTAAAAGAGAACTGTTCTCTAGAATTATCTTTACACATATAATTCAGCGTTAACAATCAAGTTACTCTCTTGAGTTTCTTTTTTTCAAACCGACCATAATTTCAACATTCCACGCATGAAGAAATTATTAATTGTTTTTAGTTGTTCGCGCAAAGCTACTCAATCGTTATATGCACCAGCCGTTCCATAATTTTGGACAGATAGGGAAAACAGCTAGCCAATTGCATTCATCGCCAAATTTTGCGCTACCCTTGTATGACCGAATAACAGGCTTGCCAACAATGTATGCTGCAGCCAGTCTTTAAACCAAAGCTAAATTTGACTGATTACAGGTTGAGACTGACTGAAATACAGGACAAATTTGGCGCAATTTCTCTCTTGCGGCGGGTGCTATATTATAATCGATTAAGTCCTGTAGAATTAGGTACGAGTATATATTTCAAACATAGTTGTTTCCTGCCTCCTAATTACTGTCTTATAACTGAAAATATTCATTTCAGTTTGTTTGTTTTTTTAGAACAAAGCCTCATTGGACTAACTGCTGTGTCCACCGCAGGAATCGAAGCCCAGATGTTAGCGTCATAAGTCCGTAAACCTACCGCTGTCCCACTGGGAGACATTCATATCAGAGCTCACTATTTGTCTTCCCATACATGATGTCTGTGAAACAGCCACTCATCGATTCTTATATCAACCCATTAGATTATTTCACTGGCTACCGTCTTAACGTGAACAGTAGAGCAGTATGTAATTACCTGGACTGTGTATTCTAAGATCTTGCTTCCACGCCGCATGTGCCACTGGCCACGATGAATGTCTGCTTCACGTTCGACAAATGACAACTGAATTATAAATGAAGAGCAAAATATTTCCTTTTCTGTACATATATATTTTTTATAAGCTAAAGTATCAAAAACAGGCTGTTATGAGCTATTATTAAACAGATTTTAAAGATTAAGCTTCTGAAAAACAGATTTCAGAGGTTTGGTGGAAAGCCTGTTATGACTTGAATTGCGGAGCGAGATTTATGTATTTTATTTTTCTTGGTGACGAGACGCGAACTCGCAGTTACTCACAGAGCCACGCTCGGCCCGAGTCTTAATTCCAGCATTATAGGGTTACAGGGTTAAAGAAACCACTCAACAATCTAACGTTTCTCTATTTCAAAGAGGCTAAAGCTCAAGTACGAAAAACTAGCACCATTACACTCCTCATTTTCCTGAGAATAGCCAAGTTGAGAGTGTGCCCGAACAGTGAATCCTCCAATTCAAGCTTCGTGACTCGTTGCTGTAAAACCGCGCTTTTCACTTTGGAGCCGTGGATACACTATAAGAGTGAGGATCAAATCTCATTATTCGATCATACAAAGGTAGCCGAAGAGTTGCGGTGGGTACTGTTGAGTAGGTGCCTTCCCTCTATTCTGTTAGTTAAAAAATCAGGAACAATTATACGCAGATAATCCTTCGTCTCTTCCAACTTAGGGTAAAATTCTGAAAGAAATATAAAAAAAAGACTTAGTTTGCCGATGAAAAAATTACTTTAGTTCAAACAGAACAAGGTAGTTTACTAATCGAAAGTTATAATTTCATATAATAACCACAACACAACTAAATTAATCAGCTTTCACATAAAAAGCTTAACACAATTTGAGTGTAAAGAAATTAAAACACTAAGGTTCGAAACGATCGTTAATACAGATCGACTACAACTGAATACGAAGAAAAGCAACTCCTGGCACAAAAGTTTCGACATCATAAGATGCAAAATAAATCAATAAATTATCGTTTTAAAAACTAACCCTCAAGTGATATATGAAGAAATAAATCAGTTAATCTGAAGTCTCAGTATTTTGAATCGAAAAAAATCCAACTGCATTTAATACCCTTTAATTACCATAATATACAATGATCATCATTCTGTTACGACAGCGGAAGTCACGTGACGCTGGGAGCATGCGCGCTGGAGCTTCTCGAAGGATCATGAATTTTCCTAGCAACTCTAGTTTGTTTCAGGCGCCCTCTTTTTTAGTATATAAGCCCGACAAATAAAGCCAGCGAAAAAGATAGAATTGCATAGATCGAAGAGATATGCAGATAGATTGATGAGATAGATAATTGTGTCAAGCGAACGGTAGGTAAAGTGTGTGAATCATTGTGATTTATAGCGTGTGTTATAAAG